CCCCCCCCCCCCCCCCCCCCCCCCCCCCCCCCCCCCCCCCATTATCGAGGGAAGGGGGGAAATGAAACAAAAAGGTCCGAACTTACAATAGCCAAACATTCGTGGAAAAAAAAAGGGGACGGTGTAATTAATATCTTTGGTGCGCTGTTGCCACTGCAAAAGCCTGCAGTCAGCGTTGCACAGTGAATGCACAAGCTCGCAACTGCAAAAACACTGGATTCATTAACCATCTCCACACAGAGCGTAAGCATGCCTCGAGTCCCGAAAGCTGACCAAAGTTGTTTTTTTTTTTTTTTTCCCCCCCTTCCCTTCCCCTCTCCCCCCCTCTCCTAGTTGTGTGTGTGCGTGTGCGTGTGTTTCACTCCGTCAGTGCCAGCGTTTGCAGCCGCATGCCATGTAAACAAAGGTAACTTCAGGGGAAGATACGGCTACTCAAGGCTTGCTCCCTGCACACACAGGCACCCACACGCACACGCTCGCCGGCACACACACGCACAGGCAGGTCACTCATCTTTCCGGCGTGCCACATTTTCCCAACTTTCTCCTTTCTCCCCCACCGAGCCCTCCTCGCCTCCCGGGCCGGACCTCTCTCCTGCTGCCCTCCAGCCCACCTCTCCCTCTTCAATCTGCTTGTAAACTTGGCAGTTATTTTTCAATTAACTGCGAGCACAATTCTAACTCGGTTGTTTTTTTTTTTTTCCTCCTCCTTCCTTCTTTTTTTTCCTTCCCCCCCCCTCCCCTTCTCTCCCAGACGCCTACCAACAGCCCCTGAAGCTACCAATGAAGTCGTCATATTTGCGAGCTCTTTCAGATCTGGAGCAGCTTCATTCCTTTTCTTGTGGCACATAAAATATAATTTTAAAACCAATTAAGGCAGTAGTAATCCCCGCTCCGCAAAATTGACTGTTTCGCTGATGTGACTCTAAGACATCTTTAACGACAGTCACGGGGTAAACTTTAACTGTAAACCGAGAAAATACGTTTCGAGGAGAAAGGAGGGCAGGAAATCTTCCTGCGCGAGAACGAGCCTGAACGCAAGGAAAACCACGGCGACTCTTGGAAAGGAGGAGGAAGGGGAAAAAAAAAAAAAAGAAATTAAAAAAAAAATAAATAGCAGAGCAGTTGGAAACGGTGAGGAGCCCGCTGCCAGATGCAGGCTGCGGATTCTGCTAAAATGAGAAGGACCGGTAAATAGGTTATAAATCGCGATTTGTATGCAGGCTTTAAGGAGAGGGTGGAGTTTGATGAAGAAAAAATGAGCGCAGCGTGCTAAAAAAAAAAAAAAAAAAAAAAGAAGAAGAAATGACAGAAGTACAGAAACCCGGTTCAGTCACAAACTTTCCCTTGAACGCATGGAGTGAAAACAAGGCCAAATCTCGCACAGAAGCAGACTCCGGGGCACCGGGAAGCACAGGGAAGCGGAGATACAGTAGCACATTTCCCCCTCTTTTTTTCCCCTTTCCTCTTTTTTCGCCCCCTTTCCTCTTTTCTTCCCTACTTACACGTCTTTCACCATTCTTTCGGGAAAAACGAGCCTCGGAAATGGATCTACCGAGAAGTGTTGCGGGTTTAAAAAGAAACGATGGGGCGGAAGGGGGGGTGGGGGGGGGAAGGAAGCTGAATGGAAGCACATCTCGTACGGGGGAGAGATGTATCTCCCCCCACCCCCCCGGTCTCATGCCAAC